AAAACCTTATGACAATTCGAGAACTTGATTTTTCAAGGTTAGACCGAAGTCTTGAGACTTAGGATTTCTATCCAAACTTGAATTATTTTAAATTCAATTTTATTTTACAACTCAAAAACTTACAATTACACAATGGAAAATACGCTTCAAATAAGAGCGTATTGTTGTAGGTTACAAAGATCAAATAGAGTTGTCACACTTTAACTCTCTAAATCTCAAGACTCAAGCAATATAATTTTCTTAATGAAATACTTGGAAATTGAGTAGGTGAACGATAAAGTTGAATATAACTCTTTGAATGATCAAAGGATGAATATATGAATATGTTTATTGGTTTTCTTGATAAGAGACTCACGATCATAGAGAGTTTAAATAAGACATGGTGTGGATAACCAATGAGATATATGAAAAAGTAGTCATTGAGGGAAGTTGCAAATGCCAAACAAATCGAATAGGGCTTCAACTATTCAAATAGAACTTTTAAAAAATTGAAGGCAAGAAAGACTTTATCCAATCTGAATAAGACTCCACCTATTCGAATAGGTCAGAATAAAGTACAATGACTTATTTGAATAGGGCATTGTATATTCAAATAAGTAGGCTAAAGTTTTGAAGATGAACTTTTTTAAAGTACTCACTTATTTGAATAGTCCAAAACATATTCAAATATGGAATCTCCAGGTGCATTGAACTATCAGAATGGGTCAACTCTTATTCGAATATGACACATGGGTTTTGAAAAATTGAAGATTAAAATGATCAAGAGCTATCCAAAAAGGTCATAAAATACTTTTGGATGATAAAATCGAGTTGCAACAAAGCCACGAAAGATTTCAAAAAAAAAAATCAACAAAAAACCAAAAGGATTTGAAACAAACCGAGACTATGAGTGTTAAATTTGTGTCGTATCCTTTATCAACCAATCTATGACTCAAGAAGATAAAAAACGAATCAATAAAACCTATTTGTCTCTCATCTTCACTTGAAATCCAAAACTTCTTGTTAAGCAAATTATCTCTCAAAGTCCCGTAAGATGTTTGCCATCATCAAAACACAAGGGCCAATGGTTTAGTCTTTTCTCTTCATTAACTTAATTGTGTTTAAAACTTGAATTTCAACACATGCGTCAGATGAAAATTTAAAAAATTACTTAAAATACATTTTTTATTGAAAGATTGAAGGAATAATATGATATCTAACATTCCACAATGATGATTGTATTGTACAAATTTAAAATTTTATGTAACGAAGTTTTTTAATTAAAATTTTTTTTAAATACACATGCATGGGGTATACACTATTTTTTGGTAATTTGAAATTCTCCCACAATTATACTCCAAAAAAGTTAATAATTTTAATAATTTATAATGTCTTTAATTTTTACTCGTGAAACAAAATATAAGGTTGACAATACTTGGTTAAAAATAAGTTAACAAATGATTGTGTTCCACCTTAAATTTATAAATATTACAGAGTAGTTATATTGAAGCATGAAGTGATGGATACCCTAGGGGGCGGTATCCTGCCCAATCAATAACTCAAAGCCAAGCTAGAAAATCCCAACATAAGAGCCACATCTATCGTTGTCTATGCTCCTCCTCCTCCGCACTTGGCGATACGATCGACCTTTGCACTCAGCGAGACAACCGATCACATCGTAGCCCCTTGGCTCCTCTCGTCGCCACTCGACCCTTGTACCCAATTGATAAGTTCGTTTCGTGCTTATTTTTCTCCCCATATTTAAACATTTCTATTTGTAAAATAAAGTTAATCAAAATAAAAAATGATTTTCCTTGAAAATATTCAGGTTTTATCTTTTTTTATACCAAAAGTATGTTCAAATTAAACATGAATTTTCTGAGCAAAAATTAAACCAAAGGGGCAAAACTTTGATGGAAATAAACTATTCCAGAAAAATGAGTTCCTATTCATCATGGACCATAGAAGGGAAAAATGTTTAGCACAATTTGTAAAATCAACCCCAAAAATTCAAAGGAAAAAAATTAAATGTTGACCAGGGCGACCAAGTGGGCGCTCGCCCCAAAGCTCCCTCGTGTTACATGCAAGTTTCAAGGTTTGAACTGGCGCAAAATTGCTAAAAACATTCGAAGTTTTGTCGGACGACCTTTCGTGCGCATGCCCCAGCAGGTCACCCTGCTAAAGTCCACGTTCAAAATCTTCTTTCGGTGCAAAAGTGACGGAGAAAATTTAAATTTTTGTCAGGCGACCTCCCGTTTCTCCGGTCCGTCTCCATCATGCCACGTGTCAAGTGGTTTGGAAATCCACAAGCGAGAAAATCGGCGTTTCGCACCTGGCGACCTCTCAGGCGCCCGCCCTGCACTCCCGGTGCCTATAAAAATGGCAATTCCTCCTCATTCTCACCATCCAATCCATTCCTCTCTCTCTTTCTGTCTACTTAGCCTAAGGGCGGAAACAATAATAAAAATTATTTAATTTTTATTTTCTCAAAATTTCAATTCCAGATATGTTCTGTTTTGCCTTTTTGGAAGGTATAAGTTTTCTGTAATACTTTTGTAAAAATGCATTTTTATTTAAATTGTAAACTTTTTGCTATTATCACGTCTGTTTAAATATTTTAGAAATGTAAATTGAAATGGGGTAGTAGGTATGTATGAAAAACAATTATGTTGGAATATTAAATTCAATTAATTAAAATGCTAAGTTGCTAGGAATTGTAGTAATGATTTAATTAATTTATCTGGCCACTTTGTTAATTAATCTTTCAAAAATTATTATGTCCATTCGTCTATGAATGAGAAAAGTAATTTAGTCAATCAATACTAGCTCATTAATCATGCCTAGAGATAGGTTAAATTAATGTAGTTGTGAGAGAACTACTCACTAGCCAAATTAATTAGTTAATTTAATAGTCCAACTAGTTAAAGTATTTGAAAAATTCCTATTACTTGAAATCAATTCATAATCCCTCTTTATTAATCAAATCAAAACTATTACTCTATTCATACCCAACCAACAATTTCGAATTAAAAGACTTCTGATGCCAATTAGTAAGCTTTTCCTATACTAACTAGTTTTAATAGAAAAATTTTATTATATCAATCCCTGTGAATACGACACGGGAATATATGGAACTCTTTTGAGGGAAATTTACTATCGCTAAAACTCATTATCACCTATGGTCTCACAACCAAACTCGAACACGAACAGATGGAGACCTATTTCGCATAATTCATGTCAGACCTCGCTAAGGGTCCTCCACTCAGCTTTGGCCTACGGAAGGTTCATAGCTTAGACAATTTCAAGAAAAGCATAAGATTTCTAAGCGTTGATATCCAGTCCATTAATGTCCTATGCTTTGAGCACACCTGTAGACAAACATATGTGAACAAACATACACGTGTATCTATACAATGGATATATTAGTATAATACTTACACTTGTACGAGATAACATATTCCCTACACCTTTCGTAGTACGTATTAAGGGGCCCCAAGGCGTTTGGGTCTTACACATTACAACATCTACACAAAAATTGTGCAAGGTACACAACCATACTACCCCGAATTCATGAGGAAAGGTAGGTTATTCGTCAGCAACCTAACAATAATACACACGGATATTCACATTCCATTTCAGTAGATTGTTCTTAGCTCTTCTTTGTATAGTCTACTCTAGACCTGGGCTTCCATAACCCATCATAAAGCTATTGTGAATTATGGTCATTAGAGCTTCAAATGTTATCTTGCATCACGTAGTCCCAAACTCATTTTAAGTATATATTATTTTTCAAACTCTAATCTCACCACAAATATCTAATTAATCTAAGATTAAATGGTTGATCACGCATAAGGGACAACAGAAGCTTGAACATTAAGAAGGGTTTGGTCACTTTCAAATTACCTCCAAAAATGAAGGAGACAGAGCATTAATTTACTACAAAGTTAGTCATTATCTACCACGTAACTATTCCGCCATAAGGAGTCATCATTGTCAAACTCACTAGTCGAATTAGAACATCAACATTTATTTAATAATAAGAATAAAAGGCAAGAAATACTTACCAAATATTGATGTATAAAGCATGAACCATCTCCACTGAAGAAGATTAGAGAAGACCAAAACCCTAAAATGAAACAATACTAGGGCTTGTTTCTATGTGTATGCAAGTCTTGAAACATGAATGCACACGTCTCACTCACAAAGAGCGCAACACTGACATGTGTGCTCCTGTTACTACAACCAAGGAGCAACGAGTCTCGTAACTTACTTAATTATAATTAGCTAATCAAAATTTCTTTACCATGTCATCTCTAGTCTTTTCATTGTCCTTGTCCATGTCTTTGACTTCCATATGCAATACAATATAGCAAAAAAGAGTAAATGCATAATACACATACATAGTATACACATCCGCTTAGCGGAGTCTCGGTCTCGTATTTAAGTTTCCGATGGACTTTAAGAGAGTTTAAAAATAAAATTATGTGATTAAATTTTATGATAAAGAGAGAAAGATAAATAATATAGGCCACACAATCTATTTTTATAAAAAGTGAGAACTTTATTATGGGATGCACAAAGAAAAAAAGTCAGACCCTAAATATGAGACAAAATAATTGTTTTAATTTGAATCCATTCTCTGTGGCTTTAAGGTGGGCAGGTCACAAAGGCATCACATCTTAGTCTTTCACTGCACTCAATTCTGATCTTTGTTACCTTGTTCTGTATCTAAGATATTTTGAATTGTAAGTGAATTACTTGCCCCCATCAATAACATTGCTTTTTTTTCTTCAACATAATTTTATATTCTTCCTATTTTATTTCATGTTTTTTCTTAATATCTTTACATGGGTTATTTAATTTGGGAAAAAGAGGAGCACGGGTAATCTTTTTATTAATTAACAAATCAGATAGAGTTAATGGAGAGAAACTTAACATTTAAGAACAGAATAATGGTGGGTTGTTTTTTGGTACTCTGAAGTCTATTTATGGACACACAAGATGAGCGCAAGAAAGCCTCCAGTCCTCCCAATCTTCTTCTGCGTCTCTCTCAGCAGCCTCCTCTGTTTTCATCTCTCAAACACTTCCCAAACTGATCCTTTTCTGGAAAAACCCTAACGAATCAACAATTTTGCTCCCCTGTTTCATGTATTCCTTCACACACGTCCAGGTAAGCCCACCACGATCTATATCTCCATTTTAATCGAGTTTCCAGTTTTCTAATCCTTCATTCTTGGCTTGAGTAATTCTGAGCGGATTAAATAGTTCATGCAAGCATTTACAGTCCTTTAGCGAAATTTGGGTGGTTTTACATTAACTCCGAGGGTTTAGGGTTTTGGGTCCGTGATGGATAATCTGGAAAAAGCTATAGTGATAAGCTTCGATGAAACTGGGAGTGTGGATGGTTTGCTGAAATCCCAGGCGATTGCTTTTTGTCAGCAAATGAAGGAGTCCCCATCAATTTGTAGTATATGCATCGATTGTTTGTGCTTTTCGAAGATCGTTCAGGTCCAGTTCTGGTGCTTGCAGTGTCTCCACGATGTACTTCGGGTTAGGTACTCTTCAATGAGTTCCCAGGAGAAGTTACTTGTCAGGAAATCTGTTTTTTCAATGGCTTGTTATGAGAATACTGATGATAAGAACTTGGCGAGGGTTCTGGATAGTCCAGCCTTCATAAAGAATAAACTTGCTCAAGTTTTTGTAACTTTAATTTATTTTGAGTACCCGTTAACATGGCCTTCTGTCTTTGTTGACTTCTTGCCAAATCTCAGTAAAGGAGCAATTGTTATTGATATGTTTTGTCGGGTTTTGAATGCCATGGATGAGGAGATAATTAGTTCGGACTATCCGAGGAGCCAAGATGATGTGAGTATTGCAGGGCGAGTGAAGGATGCTATGAGGCAGCAATGCATTGCTCAGATTGTTTGGGCATGGTATGATGTCTTGTTGGTGTATAGGAATTCCGACCCCGATTTGTGTGCTAGTGTTTTGGATTCTGTAAGTAGGTATGTTTCCTGGATCGACATTGGGTTGATAGTCAACGATGCATTTCTTGCATTGTTGTTTGAGTTAATGTTAGCTGATGGCTTGCCAGAACAACTCCGTGCTGCTGCTGCTGGATGTGTGCAAGCAGTAGTCTCTAAGCGCATGGATCCAAAAGCTAAGATCAATCTCTTACAAAATCTTCAGATAAGAAGGGCCTGTAGTTTGTTGGTTGGTGACAATGATTCTGAGTTGGTATCAAGCATTGCTTCATTGCTCACTGCCTATGCCACTGAGGTTGTAGACTGTTTCAAGCGGATAGACTCAGGGGACAGCAGAACTATCTCAGTGGAACTGCTGAATGAGGTTATGCCCTCAGTGTTTTATGCTATGCAACATTGTGAACTTGATGAAACTTTTAGCATTGTGCAGTTCCTTTCAGGCTATGTTGCGATGATGAGGAGTCTAACTCAATTGACAGAGACACAGCTGCATCATTTAGGTCAGATACTGGATGTAATTCGTTCCCGCATTCGCTTTGATTCGAAATACCGTGACAATATTGATGCATTGGATAAAGTTGGGAAGGACGAAGAAGATCGGATGGCTGAGTTTCGAAAGGATTTGTTGGTTCTACTTCGCAGTGTTGGACGTGTTGCACCTGATGCTACACAAATTTTTATTAGAAACTCCTTGGCTAGTGCTGTTGCATCTAGTGAGGATTATAATGTTGAGGAAATCGAGGCTGCTCTTTCATTATTTTATTCCTTTGGTGAATCAGTTAGTGACGAGGTAATAAGAACCGGAGGTGGTATTTTAGGAGAGCTGGTGCCAATGCTACTGTCAACAAAGTTCCCTTGCCACTCTAATAGACTTGTTGCATTAATGTATTTGGAAACTATCGCAAGGTACATGAAGTTTGTTCAGGAGAGTACACAATACATACCCATGGTTCTCGGTGCATTTCTAGATGAAAGAGGCATACATCATCCAAATATTAAAGTGAGCAGGAGAGCAAGTTATCTTTTCATGAGGGTTGTTAAGTTGCTAAAAGCAAAACTCGTCCCATACGTAGAGGTCATTTTACAGGTATTACATTGACTTCATTGTGCTCTATTATTGTTATAATGTATGGATGGGACATTAAACAGCATGATTAATAGGTTTTATTTTCCACTATACATCTAATCTTAAACTGTTTTTCAGAGCGTGCAAGATACTGTTGCTCAATTTACAACCATGTCTTATTCTTCTAAGGAAATCTTAGGGTCTGAAGATGGTAGTCACATCTTTGAGGTAAACACTAAGTTTGTGGTATGCTCATTAATTTACTGATTTGGTTTTGAGACATTTTCTCCACAGTTCCATGCTTGATGTCTTATTGTTCTTACATTGCAATGTTTCTTAGGCAATTGGCTTATTGATTGGGATGGAAGATGTACCACTTGCAAAACAATCCGAGTATCTTTCTGCTTTGCTTATTCCTCTTTGTCAGCAGGTTAAGTTTGCTTGCTTATATATTGTCCTAATCTTGAGTTGAACCAAATGCCTACTTTTGTTTTTCCATGTTTTACTAAAACATTCCAAATATGTTAGTTTGTCTATTACTTATACATTCCAAACACTCCCTCCATTCACATTCAACTGACTCTTATTACTTTAGAGATACATCAAAAGTTGAAAGAGTATTAATATACACATGTCTAGATTCATTCAATTTTGCATGTATCACAAAAGTCATAGTGGTCAGTTAATTGTGAATGGAGAATGAAGGGAGTATATGCTAATGTTGCATGCAGATAAATGGGGGCTGGATGCGAGCTCTTTCGTTATTTCATTGTATTTGCAAAATAAGAACTTAGTAAATTTGTGGTAGAGGATTATCATTTCAAATTATCAATTATGTAGAACAGTACTAAGAGTGTAACAAGTCAACAACAACAAAACTCAATACAATTCAAACTCTGTTGGGGGTCTGATCAAGATGCACACAACTTAATCCTTTCCATTATACCCAACTCTTTCTGTGTTATACCCTTGATGCATTCCTTCATTTACTTCCCAAACATAAAAAATAAGAAGCAGACGATGTTTAATGTGCCATTTTGATTTATTCCATTATTTACGAAAAGCCAAACCATTGTCACTAATGACTCTTTTAATTTCATCGGAACTGGACCCAATGGTTGGGAGGGGTTGAGTTTCTTAAATTTGTTCTCTTTATATTCTGTGCTGAGGATTCTGGCTATGTGTATACCATATTGACTATGATGTAATGTGGAAATTTGTAACAGGTAGAAGCAATGCTCCTAAATGCCAAAGTTCTGAACTTGGAAGAGTCCACTGGGAAGATTTTGAATCTACAGCAGATAATAATGGCCATTAATGCTCTTAGCAAGGTCATCTTTTGATGTCTCAAAATTTTAGTTGACATTTTATAAAATCTTTTCTTTTCTTACATCAATTTTGCACATTTATTAACACAAAATCTTTCTCCATTTCATATGTGTGCACACTGGCTTTAATGTATGCACACAGATATGCATGCATGCGTGTTGAGCCATTGATGGACATGGACTCCATAACAATTTCACTTTTTGCTTTTCTTTTTCGGGAAAAACCAAAAACCTCTTAAGCATGTTTTTTTTTTAACTGAAATGAATGTCTTGCTTTTTAAAACGCTGCTGTGTGCTGCCTGGTTGTAGTACTTTATATCTTTCCATGATTTTTGTCAATGAGTGTAAGCTAACCATAAAGTTTTTTTTGGACACTTCCTAAATATTTTACAAACTTGGTTTTGTGGTTTCACAGGGCTTTAGTGAGCGTCTTGTGACTGCTAGTCGTCCTGCAATTGGTGTAATGTTTAAGCAGGTATGTGAAGTGTGTGTGCTTAATTGTCTGAAATTTCCATTTTCACGAAGCCCACTGTAGTTTCCAGGAATTCATGTTCCTACTTTCATTCAGCTCAATTTTACATTCTAAATGCATAATCTTACTTGACCTTGAAGGACTTAGTTCTGGACAGTGCACTTGCTTTTCAGTATAGTGCCCTAACACGATTTAGTGTTCAATAAATGCCATTTCTATGTCATAAGTTAACCTAAATTTGAAGTTTTTTCCTTTTTTTGAAAAATGTAAAATGCAAAAAATGACCTGGATTAAAACAAGTAGACTGGCTACTCACTTGTATTGTTTTGAAAAAGATGCTTTTTTTCCTCCACTTTTATCTTCTAAAAAAGTAGTTGAAGTGCTAACTGCATTGATCTAAATTGGAATAAATTTGTAAATTTTTTGTTTGCCTTTTTAGGCTGTGCTAATTCAATTTCCTTAATGTCTCAGACATTGGATGTCATGCTACAAATTCTTGTTGTATTTCCGAAGGTAGAATCACTGCGAAGTAAGGTATGTATTTGATGTATTACTTTATATTTTTGGCGTGTTTAATTTCCACCTTTTTGGCTGATATGTTAGATCCTTTTATCCAGGTCACATCATTTGTTCATCGAATGGTTGAGACTTTGGGAGCGTCTGTGTTTCCTTATCTTCCAAAGGCAATGGAGCAATTGCTTGTTGAAAGTGAGGTAAGTGCCAAGTAATGCGAGTTCATGTAGTCACAAAAACAGAAGTCCAAATAATTGACTTCAATAGTTCTATGACAAAAGTTATCATCTAACATTCTTGTGTCTAAATGTTACCACCTTTTTTTTAAACTAGTGAGGCATGTCACTTAGTTGTGATATTGTATTTATGCAATATATGTCTGTTAATTTGGTGATGCTAAGATTTTTTTTGCATTAATAGCTTTCTTCTATAACATGGCAGCCAAAGGAATTAGTGGGTTTTCTGGTGCTGATTAATCAGCTCATCTGCAAATTTAGTACATCAATGGGAGACATATTGGAGGAAGTGTATCCTGCTATTGCTGGTAGGGTTTACCGTATTCTTCCAAGAGATGACTTTCCTGCAGGACCTGGCGGAAACACTGAGGTATAAAAACATGCAATTTTGTTTGATCATTTTAAAAAGCTGAGCGAACACACTTGATTTATTGTGCACATTGTGAAATTGCACTCTACAAGATTTGGCTTGTCTCATGATTGCTTTGGTTTAGGAAATACGCGAGTTGCAAGAGCTCCAGCGCACGATGTACACATTTCTCCACGTCATTGTTACTCATGATCTATCATCAGTTTTTCTTTCGGCCAAATGTCAGGCCTACTTGGATACTATGATGCAGATGCTGTTGCACAGTTGCTGTAATCACAAGGACATTGTTATACGGAAGGTGTTCACTATTCATTCAGTAGTCATTTCACTGTTTGGGTGCTTTTCATTATCATGTCAATAAATTGATGGAATCTCTCATTTTTGCTAACTCCTCCATTCAGACATGTGTGCAAATCTTCATCAGACTGATCAAAGATTGGTGCACCATCCAGTATGGTGAAGAGAAGGTTAACTTTCACATTTGATGCTTCAACGAGACCATCTTTTCCCCCATGCTACTAATCCTTCATATGTTCTTCACAGGTACCTGGTTTCCGAAGTTTTGTGATCGATGCCTTTGCAACAAACTGTTGTGTGCACAGTGTGCTTGACAAGTCCTTTAATTTTTGTGATGCAAATTCAGTAAGTTGCTATGACTGTCCAAATGATTCGAGGGGATCATGCTGCATTTGTTATATCATAAATGGTTATTATAGGGGAATCTTTTGCCAAACACAACTTGTTACAGACATATCTTATCTCGCATCACCTTTTCAATTTCTTCTCATTATTCCTTTTTAAGAAGGTCGTGTGACATGAATTTATAGTAATCTAGTTTTAGACAATTAAGTTGTACTTATAAATTTCATGTTATTGGCCCCAACGTAGTACTTTATTATTAGTTGCCTTATTCCTAAAAAACAAGAGTCATGTTTCTACTAATATAAAAACATCATTACAAAACATTATATTCCTTCTTACTCTCTTGATGCATAATGATTGTTTCATTTTTTTTCCTGGCAGTTTATTTTATTTGGCGAGATTGTTTTGGCTCAGAAGGTCATGTATGAAAAATTTGGAAACGATTTTATCGTTCATTTTGTATCTAAAAGTTTTTCCAGTACCCGTTGCCCTCAGCACTTGACACAGCAGTATTGTCAGAAGTTGCAAGTAAGTTTACGTACTCCTTGTATTTTTTTTCTCCCTTTTCCATTATCTTTTCTTTTGATTTATTTATTTTTTTCCTTTTTTTTGTTACTTGAAAAAAATGATAAAATTATTGGCCAGGGCAATGACATGAAGGCATTAAAATCATGCTACCAGTCTATCATCGAAAATTTACGACTCCAAGAAAATGGTGTGGTGTTCAGATAGCATTCAGAGAAGAAAAATGGTCTCTCTATTATCTAGCTGTACTATTTAGTATTCGTTTGGTGATTGGTTTTCTTTCACTCAAAGGTGTGGAACTCTTCTCACTTTTCACCCCTCTCTTAAGTGCATGTAGTTTTCAATGGTGGCATACTTATGGTACTGAAATTTTATTGTAGGGTTCCTTTTAATGTAAATATCTTTTGTTTCAAGGGGTCCGCGGACAGTGAGGTAACCCAATAATCTTCAAACATTTCATCCGTGCATTTTGTGAATCATTTTTTTGCTTGATTTCTAATTTACATTGTTCTCTGTCACATAGGTGTAAATTTGCGGAAGCGGATTTTTTCTTTCTTTCTGCAAGTGAGACGACATTGAGTTTGTTGCACATTGCAACTCCCTCTGGTGGGGCCCACAACTGCGCGGAGTCGCTGTTTATACGCATAGCCAGGAGGAGTATTCTCTTGCGTGCATGAGGCTCGCTCGCGCCTTCTTGGGGTCGGAGTTTCCATGTGGAGGAGACCAAAAGTGGGTGGGTTTTGGCAAGTTTTAATGATTTTTTTTCCCTTCACGATATTTTGGAGTAATATATTTTTGTCTTTAGTTAGGTCAATAAGCAAGCATTTTGAAGAAAAGATTAAATGAGCAGAGAAAATAGACATACATAATCCATATATGCATGTGTTTTTTTAGTGGAACTTTGCTCAAGGCAATGATCAAATTAATCCAAGTGCAAAATAACTGTTTCACTTTTTCTCTTTCTCTTTTTAGAAGAGTATGTGATCTAAAATAGTTTTTCTTTTAAATAAATTTTTTATCATTCTTTTTTTACTAATCAATATTTTGTACAATAAAAAATAGTCCGATTCGATGTTTGCTTGTGTAGTATACAATTAAAATATGGCTCATAAGCTACACTATACGGAGTATAATACAGGAATGCTACACGTTTATATTTATTGTGGGTTTGTAGCTAGATTTTAACCATTTTGTATGCAGCAAATGTTTTTATGATCTTTGGGTCTTCATTTTATAGACTAGTAAAAAAATAAAAGATACATTTGTAAAAAATTGAGACTGGTAAAGAATTGAGACTTGTAATAAATAAAAGTTACTATGCACAATATTCTTACAATTTATGGAGTACCAATGTTTATTGTACGCATCCCATCTTTTCACATATTGAATTTACACTATCCATCTCACAAAAGAAGTTTGTTTCAAGATTTCTAATACTTTCTCTGACTAAATTAAGTTAAATGGTTGTTATTCACATGGTAAAAAATTATTAATTTTCTTTTCTTATGTTTGTTACCAATTTGATAAAATAATAGTCATGTTTCATACAGTATAATTTTTTAAATATTAAATTTTACTTTTTAATTTTACCCTAAATTTTAAATAAATTATATTGAAAATAATTTCAGTTAAATATCGTAAATTGAATAAAGTCATTTAAATTGAGAGGTAGGGAATACAATAGTAACAAAACTTAATTGTATCATATAAAGTATAAACCTAATTGTTGGGAGCATATATTAGTCCCAACCGAAAGAATTAGAGAAGAATCAAACTAAATAGGTTTAATTTAATCCATTAGTATGAGACTTCTTGAGAGGTGTCCAAAAATAAATCTATGAGAGTTTGACTTAGAGCAGATAATAACATACTAATGCAAAATTAAGGCGAGGGTACTCGCGCTCCTAACTTGTGGCATCGAAGCCCAGATTCATGTGGGTAGGAGTGGTGGACTGCGTTGTGCGGTGTTCTCGGTGTGTTTGGCGTAACAACAAGACCGAAAGTCTACAAGCGGTGCTCTGTGTCGAAAGTCTTCATAACGAGTCGTGGTCGGGCAGCATGTTTCATTTGGTATTAACGGCGGTACAAGATGATATGGCAGATCAAATATTGTGACCTAAGCAGGTTGGTGGTCTGCAGTATACCTTGTATCAAATGTTTTCCCGATAGGAGAAGATTGGGCAGCGTGTCCTGCAGGAGTGTAGCGACAGTGCAAGATGGTGTATAGATCAAAGGGAATCGCTGACGGAGAGGTCACAGTATTGTGTGGTTGTTAGTTTGATGGGAGATTTGTTGAATGCAAACTTGCCTCCCACACCGTAGGAAAAAGCTAAGAACCAAAATAAATAGGTTGTGTCCAGTTCATTACAGTCGCTTTCTACTACAACCATAGTCTACAGACGTGGTTTTTCGTCGAAGTCCTAGTTTACAATCATAGTCATTATTTTTGTGTTATCCGTCTAACCAATATTAGAATGTCACTGGACACAAGGTTGGTGTCAAATTATACTTTTAGCTTTTAAATTAATACTAGAATATTAAAAAAGGACCATTTACGGAAAAACACCCACAAAAGAAAGACTACAGGAGTAATATTTGATAATATAGGAATAAATATGAAACCTCCTATTATAAAAGATCGATTATGGAATTACTTTTAAAATAGATATATTGACATTAGAAGCCTCCTAGTAGTTTTTATGCTAATCATAAATTATTAAAGTTTTTAAAATTTAGATTTATAAGTCAAACTGTGATATCCATTCTAATCACTCCAAAAAAATAAAATTAATCTCTAAACGGCACTTGGTGACACAGCAATTTAACATCTTGTTCAATTTTACACATGTTCAGATTTCAGAGATTGCAAAGACGTGTTAGAGTGTGCATATTTGTGCATGTGATACAAACCATATTTGTAGATCACATGTGTCGCAAATTTTATTATAATTTTGAACCTATAATAACATTTTTAAATTCAAGGAAAAATATGTAAAAGTGTTAGATTACAAAATAGTTATTAGGTCTCTAACCACAAGATTAAATCTTTAATTACATTAGTATTTAACATGAGATTGACGTTTTGATGGTAGATAAGTCATAGGTTCAAATCTCATCTACGTATCCAAGTTTAATAAACTAATGTTCAAAACTTGCTGTCAAATTATATCAAATTTGATTGTTAGTTACTCCTACAACGTATTGTTTTATTTTAGAAAAAGCTACGTATTTTAAAATTTATATCAAAATAAATTTATCAAAACTAATTTTATATTTGTAATAAGAAGCTAAAACTTTATATATGCAATCAGTGGCGAACCCATGAATAGTAAAGACTGATGTCAAATTTTAATATATACTATGAATGTTTGGTATAAAAAATATAAAATATACTTAATATACATATATAAAAACAGGACTTTTATTGTTTTTTAACCAAAATAATTTTTTATAATATTTCATCTCTTATTTTATATTTTTTATTTTTATGATCGACTTCACTGTCAAGCTATCTTTTTTTCTTATTTATTCACTTTAATTATTATTATAGTAAACTAAATAATTCAACTTTGATGTAGTTTGTTCTTCTCAAAATAAATTTTACTTTTTTATTTTTTTCGTTGCAATACAAATTTTCTCATTTTGCCATGATAACAAGTCATAAATGGGAGAAAGACCAAAGTGGGACTAAAACTTTGAAAAATATACCAAAATAGGACTTCCATGTTTTTATTCCCGAAATATGACTTACATTACCATATATGGTCATATACATTACCAAAAAAGTATAGTAATTTGCACATGTACAATGCAACATTACAACAGGGCAAAGTTACATTACCACAGTGCAAAGTCTTATTTCGAGGAAAAAAACATAAAAGTCTAATTTTGATACTTTTCTCTATGTTTTAGTCTTATTTAGAGAGATTTTTAATCAAAAATTTAACGGAGAGGATCGATTCAAACCCTTAACTTATTCATACTACATATAGGATGCTAGAAAAAATACTACATACTTGGTCCGTCCCTGAGCGTTTGTCCACTTTTGACTTTTGGAATTGTTCATCTAAGCACTTTGACTTATCAAATTCTCTAAATGTGTAAGCCTAAAAATAGTCATGTGTGATCTTGTTTAATTCGTCTTAACATATAGATTATTAATATACTACCTCCGTCCCACTCTTTTTGTCAAGTTTTGACTTTTGGAACTGTTCATCAAAGCACTTTGACTCATCAAATTCTCTCAATGTGTAAGCCTAAAAATAGTCATGTGTGATCTTGTTTGATTCGTCTTAACATATAGATTATTAATATATAATTTTTATAATTTTTTAATATACAAGTTACAAGATAAAATGGATTAAAGAAGTGCATTGGATGGTGTGCAAAAATGAAAGTGGACAAAAAGAGTGGGACGGAGGGAGTATAATTTTTATAATTTTTTAATATACAAATTACAAGATAAAATGGATTAAAGAAGTGCATTGGATGGTGTGCAAAAATGAAAGTGAAGTATTTCTAAAAGAAAAGACCCATTCTACAACCCAAGGATGAGTTTAGATCTTTGTATTGTAACAAAAGTTAGTCCCATGCCTAACCACTTAAGCTACACTTTTGTTTGTGACACTATTAATGACCTTATACTCCCTCCGTCCCAATTTATTTGCCACATTTGTTTTTTAACAGTCGCGGGAACTTTTATTTATTTCTACGTTTTCATTGGTTATTTGATAAAATAAAATATTCTTGACACCTCTTATTTCGAAGAACTTTTCATGTAGTTTTTTTATATGTAAATTTTATTTTTTATTTCTTTACCAATATGTAAATAAAATAAATTGAAAAAACTTGATATTTTGCTTCGGTAATAGAAATGTGACAAATAATTTGGGACGGAGGGAGTACAAAATTTAATGATGTCACTTGACGTTATTAGACCATACGTGGGTCCGCCCCGGATCGGAGTGACCCTGGTTGACCCTACTCAGACCAGTACGAGTACGCAATATGTAATACTTCCTCCGTCCCAAAATATATCTCACATTTTCTTTTTCAGCAGTCACGGAAACTTTTATTTATTTCTACGTTTTTATTGGTTATTTGATAAAATAAAATATTCTTGACATCTCTTATTTCGAAGAACTTTTATGTAGTTTTTTATATGTAAATTTTATTTTTTATTTCTATACCAATATGTAAATAAAATTTATTGAAAAAACTTAATATTTTATCTCGATAATAGAAATGTGAGATATATTTAGGGACAAAAGGAGTAAAATATTATGATGTGTGAATAAGGGTGGAATTTGATGAAATTTGACTGCAAAAGTTAAAGTGTTACCTTCATTTTTGAACGAATGAGGTACTTTTGATCAATAAATTAAAGTAGTTAATTTTGTTCAATATATGCACTTTTAGAGCCTGTTCTTTAGGACTGGAAAAAAGGAGCTGGATGTTGGAAGAAACTGGAAGAAACTGGAAAAATGGAAGAAACTGGAAGAACTGGAAGAAACTGGAAAAAAACTAGAAGAAACTGGAAGAAACAGGAAGGAACTGGAAAAAAACTGGAAAAACTTCAAAAAATTGGAAAACCTAAAAAACTTTAAAAACATTTATTTTAAGTTTTTGTTGTTATAAATTATTATTATTATTATTATTATTATACAAAAAAAAGTATTATTATTTTTTAAATAGAAAAAACTATTTTTGCAAAAAAATAATTACGGAGTATAATATAAAGTTAGCATAAATATAAAAATATTAAACTTTAAAAAGTCTTTGTGGTTATATTGCACCTCAATTTATTTATGTAGTATTTATTATAAATAATATATTTGTAATCAAAAATAGACAAATACGTACTCAGGAAGAGATGGAGTACAAATGACATAGTGCTAGAAATTGATTGAGGAAGAATGATAAATTGACAATATCACATGACACTCCATAATATCGAGGAATATAAATACCGATCAATGAAAAATGGAAAGGTGAATTATAATAGGATTTGAAAGTTGAAACCCGTGTTAGACAAAAACGAAGTGAAAATATCAGAGGAAATACTGGAAGAATTACGAAGTTGAAAGTTGAAAGTTTGAAAACCACAATATGGGGAGTTGGTATATGGTACATCTGGATGTACCTAGAAATAGGTACATCCCAGTAGTATTCATTCTGAAATAAAGTAGTACTCATTTTCGTATAAATATAAACATTCATTTCGAAATACGTAGTACTCATTCTGGCAAAGGTAGTACTCATTTTAAATATAAAGAAGTACTCATTTTTATACATTTGTCTAATATAATTATAATAAATAGCGTAGTGTTCATTCTTAAAAAAACAATACTCATTCTCAAATAAGGAAATGTCCATTCTGAAATAAAGTATTGTTCAATTTTTTCACAATTAAAAAGTTCAGTACCATCATCAACTTCTTCCTCTATTCGATTCGTTCCTACTCATTTATACTCTCTGAGCATGGAGAATTTAAAACTGTAGTTTATTCATGTTTGTATTGAATAAGAATATGATAATTCTCATAAGTGCTGGTACTCCTTCTCAAATCTGCGGGTACTCATTGTCATATATAATAGTTCTCATATATATGTTCTGGGCATTGGATAAAAAGTTTGCAAAATTTACAAAAATACCAAGATGTACCTAAAGGAAGGTACAGCTGGATGTACCATATAATTTGCCCAATATGGGAGGGAGGAAGTCCTTACAGATTGGATAAAGCTATCTCTACCCCAATCTTTTGTACCCCATTCGTACACCGCAGGTTTGCACCAACATTTTGTGTTGGTGTAACACTAATTTTTGTTAATGCACTCCGTGTAAATTTTTATTAACGTACCAACACTTGTGTCGGTGTAAACTATCAAAATGTTTGTGTATAACTGCGGTGTATAAATAGGGTACAATTTTTGGTGTAAGTGTAGCATGGTCCTTCTTATTTACCAAGGCTCACAATCCTTTCATACACTACTCTATAGATTTTATTCAAGGAAGAACTCTCAAGACCAAAATAAAAGTTCACACTGTCATTGGTACACTATCACACTCACCATATTGTTAATTGTCACATTATCAACGCCACACTACCATCTGTGGCCGTCGGCCACCAGAGTCCCGCTTCAGATCGCCGACGGTTGACTGATCACACCAACATATTACAATGTCTTCAGTTTTCCATCACATTACCAATACGTATGCTTACACTACACTGATATTAAACTCCTCAGTTTTGTGAAAATAACCTTCAGAAATAGAGGACTAGATCTTTGTTGCATGGAGAACGAGCTTGATATTACATTTGCTAATTTTTTTAGTTGAGAGCGTTGGCGATTGGAGCGAGGGCGGGTAGTTTCTTTTTTTCTCCTTTTGGGCCATTTTCTTCTTCTTCATCGCTTTTAGTACTCTCGATCTCTAGAAAAAACACAAACAAATATAAATTTCCCGTTCTTCGATCATGCACATGATTTTTTAAGACGGAGAGATAATGGTTTTTTTAGAAAAAGAGAAGGATAATGGATGGTGGCTGTTAGAAAATAATAATAATAATAATAATCAAAATAATGGAAGTATTAGTTATGGTAGTCTTTGTATTTTAGTCCGCTTTTATTTTTTATTCATATTCCTAGTTGGGGTTATAATCCCCTCTATATACTCTGGAATGTATTCTATTAATCCTTTATACAATATGACATCAGAGCTAGGGTATCCCTTCTCAAAAACCTAGCGTCCCTTCGTCTACGACCGTGCACCATCGCTGGTCTTCATCTGCGACGATCAACCGCCACAGATCATGGCATCATCGTCCCTTATCCCTCTATCTTTATCTTCAATTTATGTGCGTACCTAACAGCCGCCACCGATCTCAACGAGCATCACCGTTCATTATCCATCTCTTTCTTTTCAAACAGAATAGTATATGTGCTAAACAATCACCACAGATCTCGACGAGCATACCTAATAGCTGCCGTTCTTTATCCCTCCCCCTCTCTCTAAAAAACTTTTGTGTGTGATCAAAGAGCTGTAAAGCTGCATTTGTCTGTGTTTCTTCAAGCATTTGAGAGTGTGAATTTTAACATCCTAATCCGTCCAGGTCTGCAACCCCTTTGAAATTAAAGTATAAAGTTGTAATCGTAAAAATTTAAAACATTTCAAACACTTTTATTTATTACAATACTATTTTTCATAACAGAAACAGTACGGAGTTTTTAATGTTGCGAAAGCTTAATAAATCACAATCACAAAACATAGTTTATTTATGTCCTTCAAATCAAAACCGTCACATCCATCCCGACTATCTCGCCTCCGCCTGCCTCTAGGATCACGTTACATCATTCTTTCTATTTATCTGCGTGTAGCAAATAAAACATACTACACGCTCAACGTTAAAGCTGAGTAAGGATATCTAATACGTCGAACATTCATATAAATTGAATCTCAATTCATAATATGGACCCAACTTCCGCGTAATGCCGGGACGTCTCCAAAAGTGCTTCTCCTTTCTTTTATGAAACCTTTAATTGGCTCACAATATGTCTCTATTCTATGCACCATTTTCAATCACAAATTCACTTTTCTTAAACTTTGTGTCAAGTTTTTAGACGGATGGCGTATAACATGATATACAAATTGGAGATATAATTCGATGGACACGACCTATGACAAGAAAACTATGTCTGGAATAATAAGAATTGTAAGATTAAAATGTTAATTAAGTACGAAATAAATATGTTCTGTCAACAAATTAGAATTGCTAACAATGTTTATGTATCATTTTGAAAATTAAAAATTTTGTAAGAATAACTTAATACTCCCTGCGTCCTATATTGATCTTCCCACTTTGACCGAAGCTCATTTTTAAGGTTGTGCAAAAAATGCTTTGACCTTCCAAAAATACCCCTAATTTTTGGATCTCCTAACCCATATGCACCACCGTTCTGGGAACAAAATTTTTGGATCTCCTAACCCATCTCGTTGCCAAGCAGATCTGAGAACAAATTTTCACAAAAACAAATACAGATCTACTGCACCATCTGGATTTGGATCTCCTAACCTATATGCACCGCCGACCCCTTCTGCACCATCTCGATTTGGATCTCCAACCCATCTGCACCATCTCAATTTGGATCGCCGAAGCCATCTGCACCATCTCGGTCATGTAGATCCACTAACCCATCTCGCCGATTTGGCTTCAATAATTAGATCCACCTCTAAATATTGCGTCAATGGAATGACAACATTTGGAGAAGCAATGAGAAGATAGAAACGAAAGGGAGAAAGAAGAAAGACAAGAAAGGGAAAATCTGAAATGAGAAGATAGAGAGAAGGGAGAACGAGAAAGAAAAGAAAGGGAGGAAAGAAGAAAGACAAGAAAGGGAAAGAGAGAAGGGCGAACAGAGAAAGATAAGAAATGGAGAAAAAGATCAAATGAAGTGGGAAGAAAAGGAGATACGATGGAACTTGAGGTTATTAAAGTCATTTAGCTACTTTTTTAGAAGTGGGAAGATGATTTTAGGACGGAGAAAAAAGGGAAGTGGGAAGATGATTTTAGGATGGAGGGAGTATATAATATATTAAAAAAATTTAAAATAAAAATAACGTATTTTATGTTGGTGATTTTAGTGTCATCGATTTATTTTGTGTAATTGGATTTACTTAGATCGGACAAGAATTTAAATATATGTTGTAAAATGAGTTAGGAGGCGCGGAGTGCGCACTCATTCAACGATATTATAAATTCACTACGGGGGTTCGGGGGCAGCAGCCCCTGGGTAGCGGGGTCCAAGGGGCGGCAGCCCCTAGCGGGGTCCAAGGAGTCCTAGTGGATAAACGTCGAAATAGACCCTAAAATCGTAGGAGACCTTTGGTTCAAACTCGCGCCTTTCTTCTTCCCCGCGCGAACGTAAGCGTACGTCTACGCGAACGTTCATGTCCGATCATGACAATTTTGACTCTATAAAATAGAATCTTGTGGTATGGATTGAGGGACGGATTTTGAGTGCTTGTTGTTGATTAACGTCTTATCCGATTGAAGTATTTCGTATACCCCGAAATAACTTTGATCTAAAAGCGTTTCGTACGCGATTCGTTATTCTATCGAGTTCTTCTTTAACACTGCTTCACAGTGTTCTTCCTTAAGCAATTCCTACAAAGATCAAAGTTATTCCTGAAGTCATACTCGAAGAACTGAAAGATGACGTGTGGCGATTCCGTAAGAGATTTGAGCAACAAGTTTTCGAAGTTGGAAAAATTCGAAGGCCAAGACTTCCGCCGATGGCAGAAGAAGATGCACTTCCTTCTCACAACGTTGAAGGTCGTGTATGTACTGAGCACACCTATGCCGCAGATCATGGATGACGATACACTGGAGCAGACAAGGAAATGGTGCAAGTGGGAGAACGATGACTACATTTGTCGAGGACATATTCTTAACGGTATGTCTGACTCTCTGTTTGATGTTTATCAAAATGTTGAATCTGCAAAGTTACTATGGGACGATCTAGAAGAACATTTATGGCTGAGGATGCTTCGAGCAAGAAGTTCCTCGTCAGTAACTTTAACAACTATAAGATGGTCGACTCTCGACCAGTCATGAATGATGTTTGTATGACGACTACATGTGATGCCTTAAACAAATCTTTTTTATGGCATGCTCGTTTAGGTCATGTGCATTATAAAAGATTACAAGATATGTCCAAAAGTAACTTAATTCCTGCCTTTGACATTTACCAAGACAAATGAAAGACATGTATGTTAACCAAGATAACTAGAAAACCGTTTAAAGAAATCAAAACTGATCATTCATAGTGACTTGTGCGATTTTCATGCAACTCCATCTATAGAAAATAAAAAGTACATGATCACTTTTATAGATGATGCCTCTAGGTTTTGTTATGTATATCTTTTACATGCTAAGGATCAAGCATTGGAAACTTTTAAAGTGTACAAAACCGAGGTAGAAATTGCATAAAAATAACTTGGTTAAAACTCTTCGGACAAATAGGGGAGGAGAATATTTTGATCTAGTTTATTTTCAATCTGATGGTATAATTCATGTGACCACTGCTCCCTATACACCATAACTAAATGGTGTAGCCGAGCGAAAGAATAGAACCTTAAAAGAAATGGTAAACTCTATGTTGTCTTACACGGGTTTGAGTGAAGGATTTTGGGGAGAGGCTATGTTAACGGCCTGCTATTTGTTAAATAGAGTTTCTAACAAAAGGAGCAAAATTACCCCTTATAAAATTTGGTATGGGAAGCCACCAAACTTGAATTATTTAAAAGTTTGGGGTTGTAGGGCGGTTGTAAGACTCCCAGAACCTAAGAGGAGAACCTTGGGTGAAAAAGGCAATGATTGCATTTTCATTGGATATGCTCAGCATTCTAAGGCTAATAGATTCTACGTTATAGAATCTAATGACTCGATGGGAGTAAACACCGTGATCGAGTCAAGGGATGCAATCTTCGATGAGAATAGGTTTTCATCAATACCTAGACCAAGAGATATGGTTCTAGGTGATTCATCTATACCAAACCAAGAGGGCTCTAGTAGAGACATAGTTTCTACTAATGAGTCGTTCGTTCTTACAGAAATTGGGAGAAGTAAAAGAAGTAGAGTTGCCAAATCCTTTGGCTCAGATTTTCAATTATATCTAATTGAAGGTTCTAGGGATGAAATTTTATTTCAATATCAATATTGCTATAATATTGAAGCCGATCCTAGAACATATAATGAAGCTATGGCTTCAAGGGATGTGGCGTTTTGGAAAGAAGCTATTCAAGATGAGATTGACTCTATCTTGCATAACAACACTTGGAAATTAACTGACTTACCTACTGGATGCAAACCTTTAGGATGTAAATGGATCTTCAAGAAGAAGATGAAAGTAGACGGTTCGATCGATAAGTTTAAATCAAGGTTAGTGATACAAGGCTTTAGACAAAAAGAGGGAATTGACTACTTTGACACCTATGCCCCTGTTGCAAGAATTTCAACCATTAGGTTGTTTATTGCTCTTGCGGCCATACATAATCTTATGATTCACCAAATGGATGTAAAAACATCTTTCTTAAATGGTAAACTAGAAGAGGATATCTACACAAAACAACCCGAAGGGTTTGTTATGCCAGGAAATGAGCATAAAGTGTGTAAGCTAGAGAAGTCACTATATGGCTTAAAACAAGCACTGAAACAATGGCATCAAAAGTTTGATGATGTTGTCTTGTCAAATGGCTTTCTTTTAAACCTAGTGGACAACTGTGTTTATAGCAAATTTGATACATCAGGTAAAGGAGTTATAATTTGTCTATATGTTGATGACATGTTGATTTTTGGCACCGATCAAAATCAAGTCAATAAAACAAAGGAATTCTTGTCATCACATTTTTCCTTGAAGGATCTAGGGGAGGCAGAAGTAATCCTAGGCATTAGGATAAAACATGTGAACAATGGGATATGCATTACACAGTCTCCTTACACCCCTATGGATCCAAGCATTAAACTTTTAGCTAATCAAGGAAAGGCCGTGTCTCAACTTGAATACTCAAGGGCTATTGGCTGCTTAATGTATGCCATGGTTAGCACAAGACCGGATATAGCATATGCCGTTGGAAAGCTTAGTAGGTTTACTAGCAATCCTGGTACACACCATTGGCAAGCTATACGGAGAGTAGTCAAGTACTTAAAGAAAACTATGAATTATAGTTTGGTGTACAGTGGAGATCCACCAATTTTTGAAGGATACTCGGATGCAAGTTGGATCACTAATATGGAAGATTTCTCCTCTACTAGTGGATGGGTTTACTTACTAGGCAGAGGAGCAATCTCATGGGGATCAAAGAAACAAACTTGCATCACTACATCAACAATGGAATCTGAATTTGTTGCTTTAGCATCGGCTGGTAAAGAGGCTAAGTGGTTAAGAAATTTGGTATCTGAGATTCCATTGTGGCCTAAACCGATATCACCAATATATATAAGATGTGACGCTGCTACCTTGGCTAAGGCATGTAGCCAAGTCTATAATGGTAAGTCTAGACACATGGGTGTTAGACATATCATGATCAGTGATTTGATCAAAAGTGGTGTGATATCGATTGAGTTTGTTAAAACTTAACATAATTTAGCCAATAATTTAACTAAAGGGTTAAGAAGAGATCTCGTGCAAAAATCGGCTAAAGGGATGTGATTAAAGTCCGTTTGATATCTCTCGTGTTAAGATACCCAATTCCCACCTAATATGACATTAGGTGTAGAATTCAATGTGGAAAGCTAAACATCTAGAGATTGGAACACAACATTAGCATCATCCAAAGGTATGTGTTCAGAACTGCAAGTTGAAGAGGTTGAAGTTAATCTTCTTAATAGTTCTTTTGAAAAATTGTATATGCATTGTGCACGTACAGGACATAAAAGAACTACCTATGCGACTTACGAGTATGAAGTTTAGCCGCTTCACAAAGTTTGGACTTGACTTTTATATGCTCGTTGAAGGATAGGGACACAAGGCTAGTAAAATACGGTGTCAAGCTTGGAACAAAGAAGCATTTAGAGCTTAGTGTATATTATCTTCATGTATTCATATGAATTGCAAGGGTTCAATCCTTAGAGACACCCCAAAATTTGAATATTTGGAATGTGTAATATACTAAGATGAAAATTCAATCGTCGCGACATTTTCATTTATGCATAAGTTTGTTGAATCTATTATCTCAAGAAGTAAGTCATGGATTACACTAAAATAGGGGAGGATTGTTGGTGATTTTAGTGTCATCGGGTTATTTTGTGTAATTGGATTTACTTAGATCGGACAAGGATTTAAATATATGTTGTAAAACGAGTTAGGAGGCGCGGAGTGCGCGCTCGTTCAACGATATTATAAATTCACTGCGGGGTCCGGGGGCGGCAGCCCCCGGGTAGCGGGGTCCAAGGGGCAGAGCCCCTGGCCAGAAATTTTTTATTTCGGACGTTGTTTCTTTATGAAAATCCTTAAGATTTTCGTGATCGGAGTCCAAAACGGTAAAGGACTCGAACAAGTGGATAAACATCGAAATAGACCCTAAAACCGGAGGAGACCTTTGGTTCAAACTCGCGCCTTCCTTCTTTCCCGCGCGAACGTACGCGTACGTCTACGCGAACGTTCATGTCCGATCATGAAAATTTCGACTCTATAAAATAGAGTTTCGTGGTACGGATTGAGGGACGGATTTCGAGTGCTTGTTGTTGATTAACGTCTTATCCGATTGAAGTATTTCGTAAATCCTGAAATAACTTTGATCTGAAAGCGTTTCGTATGCGATTCGTTATTCTATCGACTTCTTCTTTAACACTGCTTCGCAGTGTTCTTCCTTAAACAATTTCTTCATTTTACAAAGACTAAAAGTATATTTAACTGTATCATTTGATAGCATTATAGAGCAGTCAGTGTCAAGTGGAAGGGAAAATTGGCAATCCAAATTTTCAAACATCCTACCTAGTGGCTAGTAGCTTCCCAAACTTTGACTCTTACATACTCCGGGTAGGAAAAAATGGCTTCTCCACTAAAGGTATTTGAAATAAGGACCATGCTACACTTACACCAAAAAATATACCCCATTTGTACACCACAGGTTTGCACAAACATTTCGATGGTTTACACCGACACAAGTGTTGGTGCGTTAATAAAAATTCACACGGACACAAATGTTGGTGCATTTAACAAAAATTAGTTTTACACCAACATAAAGTGTTAGTGCAAAACTGCAGGGTACAACCCTTGGGTTACACACAGCATAATCCTTGAAATAATGCACCATTCTCTCAATCGGCATCTGTTTTCCATTATACGAAGTACTCCCTCCGTCCACCTAGGATATTCTAATTGCGTGTTACGAGACTTGACTGACTTTATTTTCAATTCAATTTATTTGAATATAGAGGTAAAATTTTAGTAGTATAAAATCTATGTAGTAATAAACTACATGAAAAGTTCTACAAAACTAGAGGTGACAACACTATATTATTTTATGAGATGAGTATTAAAAATAAACAAACAAAGTGAATTAAGTTACGTTTGACCCTGTGAATAGTGTCTGTGAAGATCTATGATGGACAAAAGGAGTAATTAATAACGATGTTACAGATACACCACGAAATATATTCTAGATTAGATTATACCTCAAAAGAATGTACTAGTATTTTAATGATTCTCACTGTCATAAAATATTAGTTCAATAAAAAATATTTGCATTAACATTTTGTGTTATTGTAAATCATTACATTAGAATTATACTAATACAAAATACTAGTAAATATCTTCGGAGTACAAAGTAGAGTACAATATTTGGAGTACAAATAGTTTAATATCATGTTAGAGGTACATCAAGAAGTGTACCCCAAATTGTATCCCTAAAGAATTTATGCACCAGCAAGTTAACGTATCACACTGGTACAAAATGTTAATTTAATCAAAAAAAGTTATATTGGTATTTTGTGTTATCGTTAAATATTATACTAGCATCGCACTAGTACAAAATTTTAGTGCATACTTTTGTTATACAAAATTGGATACAATTTTTGATATACAAATATCATTTCCCATTTCATTAAATGACCATCTTTCTCCCCCACCGGCCTTGGCCCAGAAAAATATATATACCACAAATCCTCATATACAAAAAGACAAGAAAAGAAACTGTTGTGTAAATTAATTAATTACTCTTATATGATCTGAATGGAATTAGGCTCAGCATGGATTGGCTACGCGGCGGCGTGGCTATCAACCGCCGCACTTGTCACTACGTCAAAAACAGATGCTGACAACTGTTTCTTTTAGTAGTCTCTCGGTGCTGATTTCAGTAGTTTTCCGAGCAGCTGTCTGATATATTTACAGACTATTGTTTAAAACAATTGTGTAAAATGGTTGACGACACCTGTTTTGTAATGTTTTAGAGTACCACTTTTTAGTGTTGTCCCCGTATGAGTAAGACATCTGTTTTTTAGAGTTAAAGAGAACTGTGATTTTTTGTTGTTTATCTATAATGAACACTACTGTTGTTTTTAACTTCAGACTCCTAATTTTTGGCGTTGTCGTTCAACAATATAGACATCTACTTTAAAAAGTAATTGAAAGATATATCAGACTGCTGCTCGGAAGACTACTAAACAAAAATAGGATTAGACAACTGTTATCTTTTGTTGTATTTCTAGAATATGGACTACTAATTTTGCTATATTTTAAACAACCGTTTCTTTCAGTTGTATGGTTGCTCAATAACACTGCATTTTTTTATAGTTGTCCTTGGAATATTCAAACTATCATTTTACACACTAGTCAAATTATAAATCAGACTACTGCGCCGAAGACAACTAAGTATGTTTGCATAAACAACTGCTATTATGTGTTGTATTTTTAAAATGTAAACAACCTTATTTGTTGTATTTCATACAACTGTTTGTTTAAATTGTCTAATGTTTATTAACAATTCAAGTTTGTGTAGAAAACTGTTTAAATACATTGTAAAGCTTTTTGAAAGACTACTATATTTCAATTTACAATTATATTTAATAATTAAAATTTATTTCAATTCTAAAATATTGATCATGAAACAAAAATAAATTCCAAAATGTACAATATATTGAATAATATCTAAATACATACAAATATACAATCCAAAATCTTAATA